AGAAGATACAACAAGAAAAAGAAGAAGAAGGAAAAAAAAAGAAGACAAAAAGAAGACAAAAAAGAAGAAAAAGAAGAAGAAGAAGAAGAAGAAGAAGAAAAATAAGCAGCAGCCGCACCAGCAGCAGCAGCAGCAGCAACAGAAGAAGAAGAAGAAGAAGAAGAAGAAGAAGAAGAAGAAGGAAGATAAGTAAACCCGCATTGTCGGGGTTAGAATTATGCCCTGCGCAAGGGGAGATGAAGGCTATGATATCTACCACGGTGGAATTTCGGCGTAGATCGCCTTTGATCTTCTTCCATTTATTTATTTTATTATTCTATAATGTCCTTTTGATAAACGTGATCCACCCTCTATGCGGCATGGAGGAATTTCTTCTTTTTCGGGGGGGGCGGGGGGGGAGTAAGGAATTTTGATGAAGCTTGTGGATGCCGTCGAGGAAGACTATGGAGATTCGTTTTGTTTGTAAATTGGCGGGAAGAGAAATATTATATTATGGACACCTTCTATTATGTTTGAAAATTGGCGGTGTCGAGCGCATCGACCCTCGCTTGAAAACGAGGGCCCTCCCGGCCATGTTACACAGGAGTTAAACAAAATCATAACTTCTAGAGACAACTCGGGAACGACGCATTAGACATTCCGCGAGCCGCCGAGACGGACGTGGTTGCATCGCTCCTTCGCCGCTCTAGCCGGATGCGCCAGCTATACATCCCGCGGTCCCCTACGACAGGACAGGTTCCCGCGGGGCATACGCTTGCATCCCTAAGGGGCTGTCACCACCCTTAGGGGCGACCCACGTGCGAAGGCTTTTAAGTGCAATTGCAGAGGTAGGTCAGCCAAGGGCGTTTGCTCGTCCGCTGTAGTATAAATATGCTTGGTTAACGCTAAGCGGACCCGAACGTCGTTCGTTCTTAGGGCGCTAATCTCCTAGGCGCAGGGCAAACGTCGGTCGACTAGGACGGTCTCAACCAAGCGTGAAACCCAAATTAATCCTAGTCCCTTTAGACATATAGCCAAAGAGAATTATAACATTCACAGACAATTACATCAAAAGAAAATCGACCATCGTCGACAAAAATATCCAATATGATATGATAACTAAAAGAATACGAATCACCATACAATACATCCTATAACACAAGATCGAAATAAAATCCGACGATCTCAGGTCGAACACCACAAAGCAATCATACAACCGCCAACAAGGAGTTGGTCACGGACAATAACATAGATGCAGCCGACAAGGTAGTCGGCTGCCTTAGTCTTGACTTGATGAGACGCGTTGCCAAAGTCTTTCATTCCAGCTTACTGCCGACCTGAAACTCGTCGCACATACATGCCCTCGTGCGTTTTCGACTTTTCGGAGGACAATCTACTTTGTGATTGATTCTTGATCAGGGGCATTGCTTGACGTGTTGCATGCCTCTTCCTCTAGGAAGTGGTATGGGGTACTTCTCCTCCTCGTCCAAGTACAAGACTCGGATCGCAGAAGTCGGGCCGTCTCCACCGAATCGGCAAGTACCCCCCCGTAGAACGGTCCACTCTGGGTCGATAACAGGGTCGACTCCTGAAGCAACGAACCCCCGCCCCAGATGCTTCCTAGAGATAGTGGATGCATCCACCGCAAGTAGCTTTCATATATTTATTTATTTCTCATAAGTCCCAGGGTAACTTGGACGAAAAGAATTCGGCAGAGATAAAGAAAATGAGAATCATTTAGACAGGTACAGGTAGATAAGGTCGTTCGAGATAGAATGTGTCAATCCTTGGGAAAAGCTAAATCCGTTTGACCTTATTTGCTTTATTTCAATAGAATTCATTATACGACACACGTTGAATAACATTTTTCCAAAACAACAAGTTCTTTTTGACAAATAGGCAGGTGAAAGGTAGAAAGGAGACTATCCTTTCCCTTTTCTCCGACAAGCAAAGTCAATCTCCATAGCAGACACTCTTCTACCTACCTGCACAACATGTAAAGAAAACAAGTTCAAAGGAAAACAGTACAATTTCATACTCGAGTCAGACCACTCC